AGTAGACTTTCCCAGTAACCTAACACTCAAAATATGGGTTTTTATAGTTGCACTTGAACATATTTTTTTCTGGAGTGTTTGGCTGCTAGGACTATGGGCATGCTGACAAGATATATTGGCCTGATGAATTAACTGTTCTGAAAGGCTAATAAGCTTATGCAATGAGTGTTTGGAAAAGGAATTATTACAGAGATAGCTCAATGAACAGACACCCCAGGGAAGGAAGTTCCTTCCTAGTGAACCTGGCCATATACTGAGGGGGAGAGACCCCTACAAGACATGCTGGTCTGCGGCACAGGGCCAGGGAGCAGCAGTCAGAATTCTTTCCTGACCACCACGGAGCAGATTCTCAAAGAGAATGGTCCCAGAAGGCTTCCCATTCTGCACCTAAGTATTCAATGTCATCTCTATACCTAGTCATATCATTCTTCTGGAAATACAAGGCAGGTTTTGGAAAATCTTAGTAATTTCTGCACCAACAGCCTACTCTTCGGACAAACTCTATGTTGGTGATACTTAGCTGCAGCTAACAGACTGTGATAAGAACATGAGATTTATTTTAAAGTGAATCAGCTTAGGTCCTAAAATGGCCAAAGGAATGTCTCCACCCATCACTGAAAACCCAGGAGTATAATGTGATGGTTTTAAGAGTCTTGGCGTGTGCAAGTACCATTCCAGGGGTACTTGTTTAAAAGGCAAAAGCCTACCCAGGTGAACTGGACTCCTGAAAAGTATCTAACCTCAGTGTGACTCTTCTGGAAACTACAGTATAGCAGAAACATCACTAATCCAGAAGAGAGATTCTAGTCAAGCTTACAGTGTTAACTAGTTGTGAAATAAGGCAAGTCACTTAACTGTCCTGAAACCATATTCTATAAAGCAAATATGTTGGACTTCGGATAATCTTTAAGGTCCATTCAAATTCTGAGGGTCTCAGAGGTACCACAAGCTCCATGTCTCTCAACTCAAATTGACGTCTGATGGTCTCCTGGCACGTTCAGAACCGTAATCAAGAAGCAGAAACAGAGTCACCACTGTTTTAGGAACCATCTGCCAGACGGATTACTTACATAGGAGAAGAGCATATTGGAATCTGAAGCGAAGAAACTAATTAATAATAATAATGCCAAGCTGTACTTTCTGCGGGTCAGGCCTTGTTCTAAGTGCTTGATATACATTAACTCACTGAAGGGCAGGGAATAAAGAAGGCAACAAAAGTCATCTGAGAACCTTGAAACCAATAATATATGTAAGAGGGAGTAATGTGGAATATTGAATTGTGACTAATATTAAAGCTTTGGCAATACTGAATAACAAACCACAAGCACAAAATGCCGATCAAGTGACTGGTGGGCAGTACGTGTAAGCAAAATGACTTGGCCTCCAAAGGTGTGAACGAGTTTCAACCCAGTGAAGGCTCTCTCAGGATCATCCACTGTCTAGTGAGAAACACATGGCTGTGTTTTATCCGAGAAGAGAAGCATCCATCTTGATACTGATGAATTACTTGATGAATCACGATTTTAAGCATTACTGACCTCAAAAGTAAGGGTTTGTTTACAGCACGGAGCTCAAGCAGGTTAAGGAACAAAAAATTCTTTAAATACTCGGTAACGTTACCAACAGAGGTCCCTGTGTGCTGACAGTCACATGCTTAGAGAAGGTTACAAAACAGGAAGATTCCTAGAAGAACTTAAAATGGATTCTTTATGTACATTAGCTAGAAAACTAGTAAGTGCACCACTGATCTAAGAGTTCAAGACAGTAGCCGAGCTTAGGATATACAAATTCTTTCTGCTTTGTAAGTGGGAGAGGATGATTCAGTGAAACGGTAATTCAGTGAGGCAAAGACTGGCCTATTCCCAAGGCCAAAACACAGACTGGGCATGCGTCAGAAAGATGGGATTAAATAATATTAAACTAATGCCACCCCACCCTGTTCAACTACAATCTCAAGTTCACTCTTTCGAGGTGACAAGTAACCCTTTGCAGACCGCAGACACAGAGTCCGGGGGTAGGGCCAGAAGACAGAGAGGTAAAGGGAGCCAAGCTCTGGAGAGACAAAGTCAAAAAGCTACTTTGGGAGAGACCGAGAACGGGAACTCCCTGCCTCTCAGTGTGCGGTCTGATAACTAGAGTTTCCACCACAAGGCAAACAAAACAAGGTGGAAAAGAAAACAAGTGGACTTGCTTTCTCCTTCTGTCCATCTGCTGGTGCGCAAATATGTTCTAGGCCAGGGGCCCACCGCCTGGCTTTGTTTAGCCCACAAAAACCCCTAGGGGTCGGTTTTACATTTTTTAATGATCGACTGAAAATTACTCAAAAAGAAGTAAGTATTTTATGACCTGGACGTTACGGCAAGTTTAAATTTTAGGGTCTATAAATAAAGTTTTATTGAAACACAGTCACGTAACGCCAAACAGCAAAGTTTACGTAATGCCAAACACAACAGCAAGGCTGACTAGTCGTGACACTGCCTGTTCCCACAAAGCCTTAAAATACTATCTGTCCCTCACACACACAAAACCCTTGTGGATTTCCCTCCTGACTCCCTGAAAACCTACAGAGTAAACATAGTATACCAGGAGTTAAATGGGAGAAAAAAAGAGAAAAGGAGACGCAGGGAAAACTGAGGTGTGCATTCACGCCCTATCCTTCCAAATCACAGCAAACAGGGCCCGCGCTGCAGAGCAACACAGAAGAGAGCTCAGCAGTCAGATGTCCCGTCCTTCCAACAATGCTGGGAACACGAAAGTCTCCATTCACTAGAGCTGCAGATCCACTGACACACGCTTTCTCCAGCTGTATGCAGTGGTGGCGGCCGGTGCACGCGGCCGGATGTTCCCAAGCAATAGACACACTACATGCTTTTGACCTATGGATGCCCCTCGGAAGCCGCTGGTCACAGAGCCTGGGACAGTCAGCAGGGATGCACCCTGCTGGCTGTCGAGGTCCTGGGTTGGAAATCACGCTCCTCAATCTCACTGGCTGGGTCCGACCCTGGGCTACTCATGGGACTTCCCTGAGGTCCTAAGTCTTTTATCTGGAAAATGAGACACGCTGACCAATCAGAGGAGTATGCTCTCTCTCAACTCTTAAAACCAGAGGGAAAATGAAAAGAAAGGAGAGAGAGACGAGAGGAAGAAGTTTAAAAAAAAAAAAAAAAAGAAAAGAAAAAGGTAAGGTACTGTTTTCTCCTTTATAACAGACAAGAATAACGTGGACAGAACTGGCCCGCACGAAGCGCAGTCTGTGGGCGAGCAGCAGGCTGTCTTCTATGACGGTCATCACTACCGTGTTAACGCAGAAGACAGAAATGGGCATTTGAATTCAAGGATGTGACTTTGTTCCTTCCCATTTTTAGGGGCTTCTGGAAACAAAGACACACGTGTACCCATGCAGGGTGTGTTCTCTTTTCTTTCCCCAGGGGCAAGTGCAGCGTTTGTCGGAATAATGCTTGCTCTACAAGCAGCCGCCCAAGCATTAGTCATGAATATCATCTGTACCAAGGAGTGGGCTAGAACAGTCCGCACCTCCCTACCACCGCACTCCAATAAAGTAAGGCTTGTTTATCACAGCTCGTACACTGAAACAGTCTGGGAGGGTACAGTGTGCTGTTTACCTAAGGGGTAACAGGAAAAATACCACTTAGCCCTCTCTGAAGAGCAAAGCCGGGGACTGTTAGGTCTAGACAGAGATGACGGATTTTCCAAGGGGAAATAGGATTTAGTCCAGTAACTTGATTTTGAGTTTCCTAAGGTTTTTTTTTTTTATTATTAACCAGTAGGAACTCTAAAGCTTAAGCACAGTTTCTCTCAACAAGCACATTCCCTTGTTTTAAGTTAATAGCTTTAAACAAAAACAGAATCTCAAGACCCTGAAGAAAAACATTTTTGAATACTTAACTGAATATAAACACAGTTACCAGTGACGCAGCAAATCCACCACTGGGTATATGAAAATGTACATCCACACAAACTTGCACACAAATGTTCCTGGCAGTATCTCTCATGACAGCTGAGAAGTGCGAACAAGCACAAAATGTGCAGCATCCATAGGATGGAGTATGACTGGGCAATGAGAAGAAACAAAATACTAATTGATTTACAACACAGTTCAACCTTGAAACAGGAAGCTAAGTCAGAGTAGCCAGTTGTCAAAGAGCTCAGTGTTCCAGGTTATTCCATGTAATTCCATGTACATGAACTTCTAGAATGGGCAGATGCATAGCAAGAGGCAGGAGATGAGGGACTCCCAGGGGGGTGAGGCAGGACGGGCAGGTTGGGGCGGGGAGGGGCCTGGCGGGCTGCCAAGGTGCACGGAGTTTCTTTCTCGGGTGATGATGATGTTCTAAAATTAGACAGTGGTCACCTCTGCACAGCTCTGAAATACACTGAAAAGGACTAAGCTGTGTACTTCTATGGGTGGCTTTTATGGTATGTGAATTATAACTCACTAAAGCGGCTATGGAAAAAATAACTACTGAATCTTTTTATTTGTTTACTTTTTTTGATCACTAAAAGTGACCTGCTACGCGGTTTAGACAACTAGTAGTGACCTAGAAGTTAAAAATCTCATTTTTGCTCTCAGTTCTCTATATTTTTGCTCAGTTTTCTGTTCAAGAAAGAAGAATCAGTTTAAGAATCAGGTTTAAGAAGGGTTACTAGATCCCCTTTTGTGGGAATTCTCATTTTGTGACACGTTTAACATGAGGACACCTGAAGTCCTGTGCTCATAGGGAAAATCTTGCTCATTATCATCCTCAAAGGACCCATGGAGAAGGGCCCACTCCGCACAGCTACGCAGTGCAGCGCACACCATCTATGACAGCTAACTGCAGCAACACACCCACATTTCTACACGACGGAGCAAGAGAAAAGGGGGAAATACCGTTGTTTAAAAAATACAAAAGCTGCCCAAAAAAACAAAAGGCCATAAATCAGACACAACAGACCAGGCTAAACACATTTTGTGCTGGCACAGACTTAATGCCACTTACCGCCTGGGTCTTCAGGCCTGGTTTCATCTCCGCTGTGGTGGCCACCTCTCCCATGGCCACCTCTGCAGAGACCATGCCTCCCACGGCCACCTCTGCAGAGGCCACACCCGCTCTCCCATTGCTCCGAAAATCCACCTCATCGGCAGCTTTCAGGTCTGGCATTTCTGAAGAGGAGAAGGAGGTTACAAAGTGCATCTGAAAAATCAATTCCCGTGTCTTACTGTTTACACAACTCACTGCAGGCTTCACGTGTTTTGTTTGCTTTTGCTCTCGGGCTAAACGGGGAAGTATTCATGTGGGGCTAGTGTCATTTCGAACCCCGTGCTGAGCTCTTCTTTTATCACAGGGTTATTCGGTTTTCCCCTGGCCTCTATATGGGTTTGCAGCTAAGGAGACATCCAGTTCGACATCTACTCAACTTTCATTTTCACGGCATCTTTCTTTCCTCGCAGATCTCGAGTTGGTACTAACTACATGTGGAAAAGGATATTCACAAGATCCAAGGAAACAGATTAATAGCTACAACTAAGTAGTTCATCTTGATCGTCATCAAAGAGACCAGAGACGTTTATGTTTACACAGGACAAAGAGGAAAGACCTGCTGGGAATGAGATAAAGCCTTTAAGAAGGGTCTTACTTTCTTTAAAAACATAATGCATGCTCTCATCTATCCATCATTGAGATGGACAAGACTGAAGTATTCTGGTAAATTACATTGTTTTAACTTTACTTTTTCCCCAAACCAAAACATAATGACAAACAAGGAATTCTCCGCCCCCCCCCCTTTTTTTTTTTTTTTTAAGATTTTTAAGTAATCTCTACATCCAACGTGGGGCTTGAACTCATGACCCTGAGATCAAGAGTTGTATGCTCCACTGATTAAGCCAGTCAAGGGCCCTAAAGAATTCCTTTTTTTTTTTTTTTTTTAGTTTTATTTCACTTTTGAGAGACAGTGAGTGTGGGGAAGAGGGGAAGAGAGGGACAGAGAGAGAATCCAAAGCAGGCTACATGCTCAGCACGGACCCCGATGTGGGGCTCGATCCCACGACCCTGGGATCGTGACCTGAGTTGAAACCAAGAGTCAGCTGCTCAACCGAGTCCCCCACGTGCCCTAGAATTCCTTTTTTTAAGAAAATGTTTTTATAGGTTTTCTTTAGAATTATGCTCACCAGACCAAACTGTAGTGGTTTTTGTTACTTGACCACCATATGGTCAAGTAAATACAGGAAGGAAGTGATCAAATGATGTCTAAGGCAAATTTATGCTTTGACATTTTCGATAAGTGAACAGTAAAAATTCACCTTGACAATACAGATAAAAATAGAACTATCACCTCAATTTCATGTGGAAATTTTTCTGTGGCTGGTTTTAATCTAGTCATGCTACTACTCTGGTGGAAAAAAATGTTCCCTATATCAAAGGGCGGAGAAGTTTCTTTCAGCAAAGAATAAATTCTATTAAGATTTTATTCTAACAGCACATTATGATGTGCCCAAAGGTCTACTTCAAATTTAGGAACATTACATTCCTATTAATGAACATTTATCAATTCTTCTTCCTTTGCTCCCATTTATAATTATACAATCTTACTAGCAATTTAAAGTGGGCAAAAACAAGTTTCCTTGCCCAAAGAACCAAAATCCGCATTACATTCCAGAAAATGTAAATAAAGTGAAAAGAATCGGAAGAGGCAACCCCCTGGAGAAGGACTCCCTAATCAAAACATTTCTAAATAAGAATAATCTTTTCTTTTAGTTGTTGATGACCTTTATTTATTTGGGGGATGTGATTTTTAGCACAACTTCACTATCCTATACCCATCTAGTGAAAACATGGACCTTGGCAAGCAGCAACCAATCACAATGGTGAACAGTGATTACTGAGTTGCGGGGAACTTCTACGGGCCTGGCCTCGCTCAGTCAAGTACAACTAACTTCCCAAACCACCATGATCAATGCTCTAGGGCCAGGGGCCACATTACTGTCTCTAACCAGCACTTTTGTATTCTCTCATCTGAATTTCTATTTTATCTGCAGCAGCATATAGAAACAGGGCCAAAGCCACATGGCTGGTTCCAAATCAGCAGCTGAACCGAAGTCTCTTCACTCACAAAAGCATATGGTTAAATCCATGAACGGAATGTAAACTTCCCAGAAAATACCCTTTGGCTGAGATCACACTCAGGTGCTTTGTCTCTAGGGCAATGTGACCAGGGACTTTCCCGATCCTGGCTTTTTTTTTTTCCTTTTCTTTTTTTCTCCCAAAGAAAGTACTTATTTCTTCATGACTGGCTACTTCTCTCTATAATGCAAGATCATGAGCCCTGAACACACATGACTCCTCCTACGATCAAGAACAAGTAACTTGCCCTCACGTAACAACCAACTCTAAACCCAGACACACAGCTGAAACTTCAGACAGCTCATTTTCCTTCCTGAAACCTCAAAATCTTAAAAATGATCTCTTCGCATCTAAACCCTCTCTATGTACTACTAAAATTCAAAGTCTTGAAATTTTCTCTGGTTTCTAACTCTTCTCTCTGGGTGTTACAGACAGAAACTTCACATAATTTGCACTTGCTTGGGTTAAATTCTGACTGCTGAGCCAGAAAAACAAATACTTCCAGCCCATGTGGCCAAAGACATAGCACCAGAATGAAAAGAACATGGCCAGGCATCAGCTTACAGCCACTCCCTATTCTTCTGAAATGTCAACCTGCCAGGGCCCCCAAAATAGACTTGTTGCTGTATCTCATTTTAAAAATAAGAAACCTTTTCATTTAAATTCTGAGCCAGCGGCCAACAAATTTCTATCACTAACAACCCAAGACATGAATAAAACTAAAAACCTCAAGTCACCAAAAACATTACCTCAGGTTTCTTAAAGCCCTCAATGGGGGGGTAAAAAAGATTACACAGGGTTAAAGACCCCTCACTGAGAGGGAAAATGCCCACGGTGTTGAAGCTGCTCTCTTTCCTAAGCAACTTCTCGTTGTGTTTGTTCATTTCTCTACACACCCCACCCCCACCCTCTTAATGCCTACCACACTTAACGCGATTTTGAAAAATTGGAAGGAAGAGCAAAAACAAACCACACACACGAATCAGGCTCCTTCTTACCTCTGCAGCCGGGGGGCAAGCATGGAGGTGGGTCCTCAGTCCACACCTGGGAACAGGTGGTGGCATCAAAGTGCGATTCGAAGTGACCTTTAACGGCTCCACCGCATTGGACTCTGGTTTCAGCTTCAGCCTCAACCCCCAAGAAGTTTTATTCAAGCCGTTTATTTCCACCGAGAAACAGCGGTTTCTGTCTGCTCTCTCTGGACATGGTTACCCACAGATGGGACAGGCTGCTGTGCGAGCAATCTGCTCGGAGCAGCTGCTTCACTCAGATAAGCAGACACGCCGTGTGCCCTGTGACAGCGGCTCAGCGCACTTAGGCGGACATCCTGCTTCCCGTGCCCTGCGCTGCGCAGGGGCCTGAACTCCCAGACGGCTGCCCGAAAGCAAGAGGCAATGGAACTAGAAGTCTGCTCCTCAGCCAGGAAAGGGAGGGCGTTCGCTGAGCTCCCCTCCCCCAACCCCTCCCCAATGACCTAATGCCACCATTTTGGACAAAGGATCATGCGCACTGAACGACTTACAGCTGTTTCACAAAACCACCCTGCCTCTAAATGTGCTCAGGACACAGACCAGGACGACAGGGGAAGAAAAGTGCTCCAGGCTTACAAGCAAAACCTACTTTTTCAGCACTACTTTTTCACAGTTCTAGAGAAAAGGACTAAGCCATGTGGATAAAACATCTGCTAAATTCCTTTATCGTTGCAAAGCACCTGCGCTAGACAATTTTCTTGGTTAGCAAAATTCCCACTGCCCTGGTCTGACAGGCAGAGCGTTTACAGGCTTAATCAAACAAGCCAGGAGTCTGCAATACAGGAAGCAAAATCCGTCCAACCCCTAGCTGACAAGCCTCTCCTGACGGTGGGGCTGTGAACTTGGCAACGTACCCAATGAATGAAAAACGCTTCTAAAACCACAAAGATACCCACTTTTTACCAGCACATCTCAGAGACTCTTCAGGGAATCTGTTCTGCAGGCTGTGACTTTTGAACTCCACTTTGCTCACCTGTGGCCGGCTTGGGTCTGTCAGGAGGTGGATCCGTCTTCTCTGGCTCCCCACTTCCAGCCAAACACCCCACAAGGGTGCCAGGGGCTTCTTCACGAACACTGCCCAGTTGTGGGGTCTGCCCAGGTACAAAAGCGTTCACGTCCCCTGCAGAAGCACTCTCCAGCTGCTCGGTCACTGGGCCTGACTCCGGAGGACTGTACAGTGACATGTGACTGGTCCACCCCCCAGTGATGAGTGCTCCCGTGGCCTTGACTTGATCTAGGACTGCCTCCACTATGCGACTCGCAGCCTCCTCGATGGAGTCGGCTCTCTCGGGCAGACGCACAGCACAGGGCGCAGAGGGAGCGCCCCTCTCCCCGCCTGGGGCCTGCTCACCAGTGCATGGGAGCCCGGTCTCCGGGGGGACCTCCGTGGTGGCGGGTTGCTGCAGGATGCGATGTGCCTGGGCATCCACCTGTGCCTCTCCGGAGCTGCCCAAGCTGCCGCCGTGCTCTGCCTCCTTCCGCCGGAGAGGTGGTGACTCTGGGGCTGCGGCGCCCTGTGGGTCAGTCACACCACTGCCTGGTAAAGGCCCCAGCGACCCCAGAATCACCTTCTTCTCCTGGCTCAACGAGGCTTTCGGAACCGGGAGGTCTTGGGTGTCCTGTGACTCGGTCCGTCCCCCAGCCCCCGCGCCTGGTAGTGTGTCAGCCACTGCGACATCTGACGCCGCCTCGCCGCTCACCTCACAAGCAGGGCCCGTTCCCTGGGATTCAAGGTTTTGCACTCCAACACCCAGAGCAAGTGTGCCCGTGCGGGCCGCAGTCCCACTGGCTAGGAGCCCTGGCAAGGGGGCCGCGCTGCCCTGCTCTGCACCAAGGCCTTCTTGGCGGGGCTCTGCAGGCCTCCTGGCCCCCGGCGGCACCCAGCTCGGTGCAACCCCACCTCCAGGCGGCGGCGGCGGAGGCACTGGTGGGGCCACTTCCTTGTTATGCTGAGTTCCTGCATCAGGGCAGGCCGAGGGTGTGCCCAGCACGTCATCGTGCTCCAGGGTGCTATCCTCCGCACGGCCAGTGGAGCTGAGTTCTCCACGGAATCCCTGCACCTCCGGTCCGGGAGGTGGTGTCGTCTGCTCTTCCTGAAACGTTCCTGAGGAAAGCGGGTTTTCCTTGACAGAGGGACAAGTCCCTGCTTTCTCCCCACCACTTTGTCCCTGAGCTTCAGAGCTTTCTGGAGGCACCAGCTTTTTCCCTTCTTCAGTCAGAACAGAACTGGAGGCCACAGTGGCCTGACCCGCAGGCAGCAGAGAGGAGTCCGCGCCGTCCCTGAGATGCAGAACATCGGGGGCTGCCGAGAGGCAGGGACCCCCTTGTTCCTCGCCAAGGCCCGTGGGACTGGCATTCCCCATGCTGGGCTGAAGCTGGAGAGCAGTGGAGGCCGCGGCCAGGCCTGCGGCGCCGTCTTCTAGAAGCTGCCGGCTAGGCCCGTCTGCATCCCCGCCAGGGCCGTCTCCAGCGTCTGGAGCTCTGTGCAGTCCAGGAGTTGCTGTTCCCTTTTCTTTCTGGGAGGGGACAAGAGAAAGCGCATCATCTTTGGTTACTGATTCACGGACTGGACTGCCTGCCAGAGAAGTCCTGTGTGATGTCACCGCCTGGTCCGGCACCAGCTCCTCCTCAGCTCCGGGGGCAGCGGCATGCGGACGCACCCCGGGCGTACTCATCGAGGAGGTTTCTAATTTCAAGTCTTCTCCTTGGTCCTTTATATCTGAAACTTGGAGAAGACACAATTCCACGTGTTCCTGGGTATCTCGCACGGGGCTGGGGGTGGCCGGGCTGGCCTGGGGCCCTTCACCGCAGGCAGCAGGGGGTGGATGCTGTGTGGGCAGCAGTTGTGGGGGGCTGCTGTCAGGCCGGGTGACTCTGTCATCACAGGGTTCTGTGGTCAACAGGCCACCAGAAGTCACTGTGTCCTGCTGCCGCGCAGAGGCAGCACACGGCTCATCCCCTCTGGCGGGAAGACAGACAGACGGTCCACTGTTTGGGCTTTGCACAGGAGACAAATTCGTTTCTGACTTCTGGTCTGCTGTGTCGTTCTGGGGCACAGGAAAGGTCAGGTCAGGGGGCGGCACGGCCACACCTGCGCTCGACAGGGGAGCACAGGGCTCGGGCCCATCTGCAGGCGTGGCCTGCGCGGCAATCGGAACCAGCGGGCAGCTTGGATCTGCTGGGGCCCCGGCACCCCCCTCACAACCTTGTGAAGTTTCCGCAGCTGCAGCCTGGATGGCAGAGGCCTCTCTGTTACTCACTGCAGGAGAACAGTCAGCAGGCTGGGGGGCACCCGGGGAGGCAGCGGCGGACACACTGTGAGGAGCACCGGCTTCCTCTGCGGGCCTCCCCGGGCCTCCTCCGTAACAGGTGCCAGCTGTACTGATACCAGAGTTCGAGAACTCTCCCTCTGTGCTCCCCCTGGCCTCAAGCGCGCTCTTCTGGATGGCGGCGTCTGTGTTCGGGAGACCACGTGCTGGGTCCCCCGCAGTTGCTGAGGCGCCAATGGCCGGCTCACCCCCGGACCGAGGCGGAGTGGGCGCGGTGCCCGGCTGCATGACCATGTCTCCCTGCGGGACGAGGTCTCCAGCGCCTGGAGGCTCCTGGTCTGTGGCCAGCGTGGCAGATTCTGTTCCAGTTTCTCCGGCTCTGATTCCACAGCAGGGGGCGCCTCCTGTGCCCTCTGCTCTGGGCACGCTCTGCGCGAAGCTGCTGGGCCCAGACGCGGTTCCGCAGGCCACGGTGCGTGCTGCCTCCGCCTCCTCCCCTCTTCTCTCCACGCCTGTGGTTTTCCTCCTACAGGAACAGTCTGGGTGCTCTTCCTTGGCCACGCTCGACAACTCGCAGGCACTGGGAATCTCCCCGGCAATGCCCCCTCGGCAGCATGGACAGCTCGCAGGGTCCTCAGGAAGAGGGTGCTGGGGGCTGGCCCTGGGGGCCGACGCGCAGCAGAGGAACTGGCCGTCTGTGTCTTGGGCAGCGGGCACACCTGCAGGGTCCTGTGCTGTGACCATGAAGGGCAGAGGACTGTCCATCTGCTGAAGGTTTGTTTTCTAGGAGGAAATGAAAAATACTTTTAAAAACGGTCCCTGGGAAGAGGGCCCTGACACCTAGATGCCAAACTCCTGCCGGAGAGAACTCATTGCCTTTCCAGCCCTCCTACGATCCCAAGATATGCTCACCTAAATAGATACAAACACATTTTTCCTTGTGCCTGATACCACTTTCCTCTTTGATACCTGCCTATCCACTGAAATGATAAAAACGGTCAAGAATACACAAGATGGCTATTTCCTAAATAATGAACTCATTCTGGAAAGGTTGATGGGAGAGGGGCACCTGGGTGGCTCAGTCCATTAAGCATCTGACTCTTGATTTCGACTCAGGTCATGATCTCACGGTTTGTGAGAGCCCCATGTCCACGTTCAGCGTGGAGCCCTAAAATTCTCTCTCCACCTCTGCCCTTCCCCCGGGCACTCGCGTTCTCTCACTCTCACAATAAACAAACTTTAAAAGAGATTTTTAAAAAGTAGATGGGAGATGTTCTTTTACTTTTTGACAAAAGCAGTTCCTCTGTTGTCTAGTACCGAATATCAAATAAGAAAATATCAAACTAATAATACTCAATTCTTTAAAAAAAATTTTTAATGTTTATTTTTGAGATAGAGAGAGAGAACGAGAACACATGGGAAAGGGGTAAAGAGAAGGGGACACAGGACCTGAGGCAGGCTCTGTACAGACAGCCCAATGCGGGGCTCAAACTCACGAATCATGAGGTCAAGACCTGAGCTCAAGTCAGATGCTCAACTGACTGAACCACCCAGGTTCCCCATGATACCGAATTCTTAATTATTCGTAGACAGTACTGTGGCTTGGTGATACTATAGGTCATCTCAACAGTACTTTTTGCAACTGTGCAGTATTTTAAAAAAACATACACAGATATAACCAGCTATATGGGAAAGGTTAAAGAAAATTACGGTGGTTCAAGCTGACGGCAGGTGCCAAGCTGTTACATAAGCGTGAACTATGAAGACCACAGTGAAAGCTGAAATACAGACTTACAATACACAATGTTGGGAAAAATAAATAAAGCCTAGAGGTAATTTAAGGTTGTTAAGCATGCACAATTCACATGTACATGTCAAAAAGGCTTAGGAAAAATGGGGAAAAACACAGCTCATCTTTGGGGTAGATTTGCCTTTTGTATCAAGGTTTCAGGAATTCTTACAATACTATTTGTTCAACACACAGAAACTATTTTTGAGACATCTGGCTTCGCTCTTCCCCACTGTCTGACCCACTGCAATGGTCTCACACAGATATACTGTGCACTGCTCTCTAGCTCATTTCCTCCCTCAGTAAACCAGCAGGTTGAGCACTTAACAGTTCTCCTACATCATACTAGTCCTGTCTACTAACCAGGTCTATTATAAGAGCTTCCTGTGCTCACTAATGTCTTTCTAATAACAGAGTACCCACACGCACACACACAAAAAAGTGGATTTTCACTAAAAGCTTTTGCACTAAGCTCCTTAGAGTGCTCAAATGTAGCTTGCTTCCATTGCTGCTGAGAGTGTAAACGTCTCCTAAAAATTATGAAAGCAGGTCATTACATTTAATAAAGGGTGAGGGTTGCAGAAATAAGTGATGTTTTGTGAACAACTTTAGAAGCTCCTAACACACGCATCCTCTCCGAGACTTCACTTCTCATAGTTTCCTACCAAGCATTCCCACATGGTGCAGTAACTTTGGCACCTGCAAGCTGGGATTTTCAAATGGACCGTCATTACCTAGTAAGAAGAGCTCTAAAGGAAAATCGGACTTGGCAATCTGTTCAGAGCAAAACAAAACGATACCTGTCCTGGGCGTCCATGAATCAGAAAGGGAAAGACAGACCCATCCCACAACGCTGCTGTGGGGTGTCCTGGCCTGCTGGCCTCAAAAATAATGCCTGCTCCTGAAGCAGTCTCCTGTACTGAGCTGACCCTAGCTGGCCTTAAATGAAATTACTGTCAAGCTTTTTCCAAATCAAATCAGCTCTGAAATAAACTGGGTGGAAAAATTATGTAAACTCGGCCTTTCAGATGTTACAGCCAAGAGCCATGTACCCATGTGACGTTTATATTCTGCATAACAGATGCTACCAGGGAGTCTGTAATGTTTTTACGTCTGGCAACAACTTTATCTTGGAGGCTTGAGTGGATTATACAATCCTTATTTTTCTAGTCATCATTTTACCGCCCAACTATCAATTTAAATACAGTAACATTATCATTGCTCACTGAACTAGCTGTGAAGAGACTCAATTTCTGAGTATAGCAACCATCTCAGGAACTGTTTTGCTCACTTAGTTTTATAAAGCTAAACTGACAAATTTTCCCGGATGCCAGGAAAACGGAGTTCTAATTGTTGCAGATTTCTGCATCTGCAGTGTTTACATTTATCTTTCATTATTTCAAAAACCTGGCAAAAAAGAAAAAAAGAAAAGAACTTCCCGTGGCCCCTGCCGCTGCTCCCTATCTGTAAGTGGTAGCATCCAAGGCCGCTGAAACTGCCCTAAGGGGTTTCACAATCTGCGAGGAGAGCATTTTTAGGCTCTAATTATAGGAAAGTTCACTGGGGGAAAGAGTGAGGGCACAAAAGCCTGAAAACTGGACATTTTCTTCCTTACCATTAGCTGCTGTTGGATGTTCCTAAGTTTAAAAATGTGTCCAGTGCAAGGGTCTCCAGGAAATGAGGGTTCATGGTGGGCTTCGGACTCAGAGGTTAACGTATAGACGTCCAGCTCTCGATGGTGCCTCACAGAACAGTCTCCGTAAGGTATCTCGTAGGATAAACGGCTCCAGGAGTCTGGTTCTCCGGCGTTCTCCCTGGAAGCAGGCAACCACTGGTTAACACACATGCAGAGTTCTGCTCCCGGTGGCCCAGCCCCAGCGCTCGCTCATACCGACTGCTGTGGGTGGGTGTGTGCAGCAGAAATCCGGTGTGGGTGCTGCCCCAGGGCTTCAGGCACAGACCTAACTAACCATTCCATCCTCTTCAGAAGGGGTCACAAACGGATTAAATGTGAACTGCAGGATTCCTCCCTAAGGATGTTCTTTTGATCAAGATAAAGAGAGGTCTGGGAGCTTAAAATAGTTAATATCATGCTAACAACCAACTTAATGAGGAAATGTGAGGAGGATGGCCTTAGCCTGGTTCTCACTAGAAGCAAGGCTTATTAGGCATTTCTCTTCAATTGGGCTGCACCACACGCTAACAGTGATTATACTGGGAAGGGAAGAAGTAATCAGTATAACCCATGAAAGGGCATGCCACCTTTTGCTGACGACTCTCGAAGTCAACTGCAGAGACGACAACTGGATGTCATATATGCTACACTTGTCAACACGGTTAGGAAAGCACTTGGTTCTAAGGACTTCAAGTTAAAACTGTTTACATTTGGAAAACAAACAACCTTGCTCGACGCGTATATTGTTACAAATGAAATAAAGCCGACAAAGGCACAGGTGTGTAAAAAAGCCTTTCTGGGATAGGCCTCAAAACATAAAATCTCTTTATGGGAACCAGGAGACTGGTAAAGCATCCCAGAGATTCTGGAAGACGGAGAAGGTTATGTTTGAGATCATAAGAATGAAGAAATAAGAATGAAGCATGAAGAAATAACAGGTGTGCCACCCACCGACAAATGAGAGGGACACACGACTCCCTCTCTGCAGTGTGCTATTTACTAAATCACACCCGTCATTAACAACTCACCATATAATAACTGGAATTTGAAACTAACAATATGTTTTATAAGAAAGCCTAGAAGCGAAGACCTGGGAGCTGGCTGAATAACAGCAAAGACAGCTCCAAAAGAAAACTACTGTCATGTCCATCCTCAAGAGCAACACCCCAGCAGCTGCTTCAAGTGACCTTGGCATACACTGTGCTGAGCCCTTTATGCACTCACCATGCTGCTCCACTGTGAGTCAAGTGACCTCAAAAAGTAAAGTACAGTTGCCTCTTGGGCCACTCGGGTTTGAACTGCGTGGGGCCGTTTACACCCAGATTTTTCTCTCCATAAATGCAGTACGGTACTATCAGTGTATTTTCTCTTCCTTACGACTTTCTCGCTAACATCTTCTTTTCTCTGGTTACTTTACTAAGAGAAATACAGCGCACAGAAAAATGCAATGCATGATACATGTAACATATAAGGTTTATATTAACTGGCCGTTCTGTTGTTGGTAAGGCTTCCGATCAACAGCAGCTATTACATTTTGGGGAGTCGATACTTATATTCGGATTTTTGACTGTGCAAAGGGCTGGTGCCCCTCATGTCTGCACTGTTCACGGGTCAATTCCACTTATAAGAGAGTCACTTAAAGGTTCAACTGAATTTCTCAACTAAGTAGCCAACCAGCTATACCAAATGAGGGGGCGCGACTTCTCTGTAAGCTGAGTTCTGCAGCTAAATTTGGGTTGCCGTTGTCGCTAACCCTGGTTAATTGCCTGACAGGCCTTTGGTAGCCCAGCTGACTACTCCGATGACCTCAGCCAGCCATATCCAATGATAACAATTTTTAAAAAAGACCTCTGAAAACAAAACTTGATTTACAGACCACCATTCCAGTGTGAACCAAGTACAATACGCTAAGAAAGGACCATCTGATGCAGGGGCAATCAAAACTGCCACGCTCCATTCCCCACAAAACGGAATTCTCTACCAGCTGGCCACTATTAACTCTCAAACTGCTTCCTTTCTGCTGTGGAAACCTTGAGAAAGCCCCGTCTGTAACCACAAACTGTTTACCTTCCACCATTCCCATGCTCTCCTTGCAGAGGAATGTGCTTCTGTTGCCACAATCACCCCCAAGTGCTAACCCTTCCATCTCCCGATCCACTGTCCCTGTGAATCTGTGTTGCTTCCTAGTCTGTCTGGATACCAAAGACCAGTCAATGCAATCATTCTCCCACGGACTTCTGGGAACATCTGGTGCTGCTGACACCCCTCCAAACCCGTTTTGCCTGCAGGTCTGGGTAAAGCCCACCGTTCAGCAAGTACCCGTGTGCCGGGCAGCATTCCAGGTGCTGGTGAAACAAACCAAAATCCTTATGCTGCTGGAACTCCTACACTTAGCAAGAGAGACCAGAGCAGTCAGATTAAGTAAAACTACTGGCATTTTGGAAGAGAGCAAGTGCTATGGGGAAAAATAAAGCAGTGTGGTGGGACAGGAAGACCTCACTGAGGCAGCAATACATTTTGTGCTCTATGTTCAGCATCGTATAAAACTTTTACTGCACCCCCTAAGAAAATGACGAAACTCTAGGCATAAGAATGTTTACTGCAACTTTAGGTGTAAAAGTATTAAAGACTGGATACCACATGGTCAGTAATTAGAGGGCTGTTTGGTAAACTGAAGAGCAGATCTCTGGACTATTACATAGCCCTTACAAATAACTGAAATAACAGTTCAGTAACACTGTAATGTACCACATTCAGTGAAATAAGCAAAACAAAAAGCAGAAAAATGTTGGTAAGTCTAGGCAGTAAAATGCACAAATAAAAATAGTCTCACGGTGGCTGGGTTTTAGGTTTTCCTCCCCAAGATTTTAATTAATGTTTTTAACAAATTTTTTTCAAGTCCCCCATTGAGCCAGGGCTCGTTGCTGCTCTGTAATGCTTTTACTCACATGCGTGAGTGAAACTTTCTAGAATTTCCTCAAAGCCCCAACCTTAACCTTGTCTACTTCATTCTCGGGTGACCTTTCTGCCCTTCTTAGTGAGAAGCTTGAGGCCACCTAAAGGGAGCTGAAACAATCTTCATCCACTGACAGACAGCTCTGCCCACCCCCTCCAGCGTCAAGGACACCCCTACTGAACAGTGCGTTTGCTCTGTTCCCCCTGCCCTCCCTTCGGCACCTGACTGGGTAATGCTCACCCGGCTGCCGGCAGTTTTCCACCCACTTTGGGACTAGCTCCTATTTGCCCATGGTTTTCTCTGGCTCTCTCTCCTCCTCCTCACACGGTGGATGTGAGCACAGCACACGGCAACTTCCTACACTCTCCCACTTTCTTTCCTCCTTTCCCCACAGCCCCACTTCACCCCCCAAACCTCTCTCCAGCTGCAAAGTCCACGTTCCTGCCCCACACTTCCCGCTACTTCAACGTCTTCAGTATGTGCAGTGGGCACTCTCTGATTTCAAAACTCAATTTCGGGGCACCTGGGTGGCTCAGTCGGTTAAGCGTCCGACTTCGGCTCAGGCCATGATCTCACAGTTTGTGGGTTCGAGCCCCGCATCAGGCTCTGTGCTGACAGCTCAGAGCCTGGAGCCTGCTTCAGATTCTGTGTCTCCCTCCCTCTCTGACCCTCCCCTGCTCATGCTGTCTCTTTCTCTCTCTGTCTCTGTCTCTCAGAAATAAATAAAACTTAAAAAAAATTCAAAACTCAATTTTATGCCCCCCCTTCCCCGAGGCGGCGGCAGCCCCCGATTGATTTCCATGAATGAACCAGGGTCATTCCTGGTAACACCACCTCCCTTCTGACTTCCTGGCTGGTCCCGTCTTGCTGTTTGAGGCCTTACTTCAGATCCTATGGGCCCTGAAACACCTGGACCCTTGCAGACACTCCTGTCACAGGCCGGCTGCCTTGGACCTGCCACCGCTCCTCAAATCTACCCAATAGGATCATCTTAAAGCAATAGTGATGCTTCTCCTGCCCCAAAGCTTTGGGGTGCTTCCTGCTACTCCTTTTGTGCTTGGAGAGAAGCACACGTGGAGTGCGCCCCCATCGCCTAGGCTTTCCCTTCTCCTCTTAGCACTCTGCGGGGCGCCACATGTACACTGTGTGGACGCAGAGCAGAGAGCCACACAACTCCATGACCAAGGCTGCTCAGCTACGAACGCCAGACCGACAAGGGTCTCTTTCCGCTCTGCGACGCGAGCTCCCCGGCATGACAGCTGCAATGCTTTGGCCTGCCGTCGGCGCGTCCACACTCAGGCACTGGCTTAGTAACGCACGAAACGCGGCCTCACGTTCTTGGGCTATGTTACAGAAAACCCACGCTCCTCCAAACAGCAGGATCACAGAGCTGACAGCCACGCACACAGAAGACTGATGAGGATGTCACAAACAGACCCTGCGGCACCAAAGGGGGGTATTTAGCTCACCACCTGCCCCCTCCCTAAAAACACCGAACGCAGCTGGCCCTCTTCTCCTCCTAACTGCTCTAAGTCACATCCGTGTTCGATGTCTACATTACCACGCATCGAGACGTGCCAGTCACAGCTGCTCCAGGTAATGGCCTAAGAGGACTCTCCCTTTCAGGCACCATTTATTATTTCCTCTTGAATTAAGTTACTCTCTTTTTTCTAATTACTCCCAGCTAGAACCTTGTTTTTATGGTCTTGCTTCACAATGGGATTCTCAAAGATCATTCAAAGAAACATTTACTGAACACCTATGAAGTGGCAGGCACCATGTTAGATGCCACGGCTACCAGGATAAATGCAGCATCTTTTCTCCAGGACACATGTAAACACACAGGCTAAGGTCAATTGTGAGGCATGGCCAGGTAGCCGCAGTCTGGCTCACTGGCTGTATGGTCACTTCCACTGAAGTGAAAAAGCACTTCAGGAGTTTTACACTTGCAAGTGTGGCATCTCATGCACTAAACATAACATATTTCATCAAAATTACGCTATTTTTCTTTACTGTTTTATTTATTTCTGAGAAAGAGAGAGACAGCGTGAGCAGGGGAGGGTCAGAGAGAGAGGGAGACACAGAATCTGAAGCAGGCCCCAGGCTCTGAGCTGTCAGTACAGAGTCCGACGCGGGGCTCGAACCCATGAACTGTGAGATCATGACCTGAGCTAAAGTTGGAC